GGTGTGAAAAAAACACTTTATTACAGGGAAAATCAAAGCCTTTTATCTTAAACTACAGTTAAAGAAAAAAGGCAAAATGTGATTATTCCTATTATTCGAGCGAAAAACCGTCATTATTATTAAAGTACATTGATTTTTTTTTTTTAGCTATAATTTACTTTAACTTTGGTGATGATAAGACTAGAGAGCCTCTTGCAATCGCCCTAATCTGAAACTCAATGATTCTCTATCAGATTTCAAGTTGTGACCTTAGCTGAGCTACTAAAACATTTTATTATTGTTGTTAATCAAAAGAATTTTAGGAAAATAAATAATAAATTTGTTTAGAAGGACCAAGTCACCAAATTTACGTTATTGAACTAAGGAATATTTTCTATCTGGAAGATTCTGCCAAGTCTAACCTGCATATCCTGACCAACACTTTTGCAGAAGTTAGAGCATCAAATTAATGCTCCAGTAAAAGTGTAAAAGTAAAATTTTTAAACAATTGAAAGTATTAGTTAAAAGTAATCCAGGAAAAACTGTTAAGGCCAGAAGCTTTGCTGCTCTACTCTATTAAAGGAACATTTTTCTACAATTCTGGATGATAACTTCCTTAGAATTTATTTTCTTAGTTTTATAAGTAATGGTAACAGTGTCACATTTAACTTTGTATCATCTTGAAAAACTATTTATGTTGATATGTGGTGAACAACAGGTTGGGGCAGCACCAAGTCCAACCACAAAGAAATTAATTGTCTGGATGAAACTAATTATTTCTGCTCATCAGCCAGTAGCAACCAAGGCTCTGCTTTTTAAGCTTTCAGCTTCCAGTCCACCATCAGCGTCCAGACCCTAAAAGGAAGACTCTTTTCTCATAAATCTCTCAATTTGATCCTTATCAGTACTCAGGGATTACTACACCAAATTTCCCTGAAGGTATAAATAAAGTTGCATCTGAGTCTAATTTACAACCCATGTCATCTTGAGGCTCTTTACAGAGACAGTTCATTCAGGTCATACCGTCCGACTGGTAAAAAGTTATTCACTCCTTTGCTTGTATTGTGTCATTGACTCTGCAGCAATCCCTCACATGGAACATGAATGCAGCAACAGTAGAGAGAAAGAAACTCCCACTCTTAAGGAAATCTACCAAGTTGGGAGGCAAATTTCAAAGCTTTTGCAGCTTCTTTAGCTCTTTCTTCAGTGAACAGTGACATTCATCTGGTATTCTTAGTTCCACTTGTTTCTTACCGCTCTTGGTATCAACAATTATTTAACTTAATTTTAAACTTTTGCTCTTTTCTCACCGCCACTGGTTGTTGCTAACTCACTCGACTATGGGTGGATATGTCTATGGCTCTTTCATGCAATAAGGAAACAAGAATATTTGTTTGAGATGAAGAAGATCGCAGCTTCCCTGTCTCACCTTAAATGTTTTATCCTCCATCTCTGCCATGGACTGTTCTGCTTGAATGTGTCTTTTCTCAAACAAATGAAAGGATGGTCCCTTTGATTTGGATCATACACCCCCCACCCCCACCCCACCTTCTTCCATATGGAGAAATCAGTAATCAGAGCGGAATGAGTGTTGGACGAAGGCTCTGTATATAACACTATATAATCTGCTGTCGCTCTGCAGGCTGTGCAGTCTCTTCCAAGACCCCCACAGGAGAACAGTTTGTGGGGTGGGTGGGGGGTGAATTGGGTGATAATCTGGGCTCTTGCAAGGCAGAATCTTGTCTGAAACACCTTGAATCTGAGGTGTCCCGATCATTTTCTCTGCTGTGGTTGCCGCCCTCTGCAGGACCTTGCAGTCAGAGACGTGGCAGACTGCTGCCCAGGCAGAGGTACAGCTGGTCAGTATAAAGGAGGAAGAACATACGTTTGCTTTCATTTGCCAAAATCAGAACTTTTGCCTTTCGAAACCCGAAAGGCCAAAGTTTTGTGAATATTTGAAAGTTAAAAGGACCAGCTAAGACTGTCTGTGGAATATATAAGCCAATTGATAAATCAGAAGGTTATAAATTATGATAAAAATGTTTTGAATGTAAGCCTAGAATAGTTTAGATCAGGGGTAACCAATGAAAAATCAAGGGGGTCCGAATAAAGAAAATCAGTAAAGATCTGGAGACATTTTAATAATAATCTGTGACTTTAAACAGAATTTAACACTGAAATAAAATGCAGGTGTTTATGCATCCATGTTAAACATTGAATTTGTAAATAAAAAAATAAAAAAAGATAATTTTTACATTTTAAAATCTAAAGTACTATTTGAAGTAGAGAACAGGGTTAGGGTGACCCTGCTTCCCAGCAGCAGGTTGAGCCAAACATCCTCTAAATGTGCAGGGTCATCTTTGAGCACGCCATTTCACTTTTCTTTCACCAGTTCACCGCAGTTCTTCCAGCAGTCCACACTTTCTCTGCTCTCTTTTTCTCATGGTCTTCTCCTTCTTTCCCATCGCCCGGCTTGCCACAGGTTTGCCTGCTGTGTCTAAAAGCAGCAGCAGCAGCAACCCAGACTGACAGCTCATTGGCTCATTTGGATCACGTGCAGCCTGGAGCCGGACGCTCCCCAGGGCTTTACCGTATTAACAGGAGAAGAGGCGCAAGGGAAATTAGACACTGTTGTTGGACAACAAGCAGTAATTTATAAATGTTTTAAATCATGTTGGGTCTGGATTAGCCCGCAGGTGGATCCGGATCTGGATCCTGGTACGCTAATCCATGACTTCTGCTCCAGAAGATAGAGAGAAAATAAATCAGTTATTTCCTCTTTAATTTAACCCAATTAATCTACTTCAGATTTCTTTCTTCGTTAAAATGTATTACCAACAAATGTTTGTTAGGTTTGGTATTTTAAACTGTTGGAGGAATGGGCCATTTGATCAATTTAATACCACTGAGGCGCTGGTTCTTATTTTTTCTATACAAGGTCCTTATTTATAATAATTGTCATTTTTTTACTGAAAGATTAATCAATAAACTATAAATGTATTATCAAGTATGTTTCATGAATATTTGCATTTTATTTTAGAAGGTTAGGAAAATGTGATGAATTTAATTACAGTAATTAGATTTTTTTGCTTATTTTAGTATATTGTGAATCTGGGCATCTAATGCTGTGTTTGTTTAGGTTCTTAAGAAATTCTAAAATGAACATTAATATCGAGTTAATCTTTAACATTTTACTTACAATCACCCACTATTTGTAAAGCAAAAGCCTGTGGAGAGAATTTAATGATTGAATATTAATCTAGAGAACAGAGTATCTGAGATTTGTAAATGATTTATGGGATGGGGGGGGTTCGTTTATGAAAATTCAACAGTAACAGCTGGATCATCACCATTTTCTGCTTTCTTGTTTAAAAGTCTGCTTATATGCACTCTAAGCTCAAATATGGATCATGGGGGCGGGGCCAAATTCTAGAGAATTGAGAAACACTCAAATCCTCGGCGAGCAACTGAAGCACACAAAGGCAGAGGGCCCCTTAGAGGTTTAGCCTCACTGGAAGTGATGGATTTTCCTGTGTTATCCAATCAGGGCTCTACTTTCTCACTGCTGGCCTCAACACACCGAGGCTCAAGCCTCAGAATGGATTTTTATTAACACTGACAAGCAGCATCCTGCTGCTCCAGATGAGAGGGGAGATCACGTCCGAGAGCAGCTGATTAATTCACAACATACTCATGAAATCAAGTGCATTTTTGCACACATTTAATGCAGTTAAATGACTACATTTATCAAGTTTAACAACGTATATTTGACCAATTATTTTAGGAGGTTTAGCCTCCTGCTTAATGAGTCATGCTTAATAATTCAATTCAGTTCAGTTTATTTCTATAGCTCCAATTCACATCCTGTCATCTCAGGTCACTTTCCAGTTCACCAGATCATCCAGTCAGATTGATTCAAAGTTTTCTATCTAAGGAAAACCAGCTGATTGCATCGACTCATTGACTCTTCAGCAATCCCTCACACTAAGCATGCTTGTAGCGACAGTGGAGAGGAAAAACTCCCTTTGAACAGGAAGAAACCTCCAGCAGAACCAGGCTCAGTGTGAGCGGCCATCTGCTGAGGCCCACTGGGGTTCAAGGAGACAGAAGCAGACATAGAAAAAGAAGCATAGATACAAAAGGCAACTGTCAACCAGCTCCACAGGCGGCCCCGTCCAGGAAACACACAGCCAGGCAGACGAGCTCCGAGCCAGCTCCCATGTCAGAGGATGAAGAGAGCACATCCAGTTAGTCACAGTCAGAGAAACAGGACTACACTGGAAAACAGGCCAAGCTCCAACATCTAGAAACAAAGATGTTGATGGCAGCAGCACAGCTGATATTTCTCTCCAGGATGGAGTCACAGCCAAACAGGAACAGACCAGATGAAGCTACTATGAGAAAAAGCAGAGAGAGCAGAACGTTAGAGATTGAACTAACAGATTCTGCAGAGTGGGAGAATAGAGATAGAATGAAGCAGAATGATGAAAAAGGGGTCCCTATGTCCTCCAGCAGTCTAAACCTATAGCAGCAGAACTATAGAGATAGATCAGGATAACCTGAGCCACTCTAACTAGAAGCTTTGTGAAAACATGGAATGCCTTTGACATTAGATTAGCTGAACATCAAGGTAACTTCTGATCCAAAGTATATTAATTAAAATAGGCTACAGGCTTATGGATGCATCTGTGCTGAACTACTGAGGTGTCACTTTGTTCATCAAACCATGTTTTACTCATAAAGAGTCAAATAAAAAAATATTTGAAAAATATTTTCCGTAAAACTTATGTAACGTCTCTTTAAGTTTTCCCCGTACTGCTAAAGGGATTTTAGTGGACAGAAAGCATAAAGTTTAGTCCATTAACCATATTCCAAAATTATTTTCCATTTTAAAAACTATATGGTGAGATGGTTAATGCTGTGATAAAATATGTTTCCCGATTGCTCTCTAGATCCAAATATTTTGGTTTGGAATGTTGACTGAAATAGTTTCTCTTCTCTTTTTGCTCTTTCCACTGCAGAGGTCATTCTGCAGCGCCATGGTGGACGAGCTGCGGGTTTCCCTCAAGTGCCAACGGCGGCTCAAACACAAGCCCCAGCCACCTGTCATGGTGAAAACAGAGGAGGTCATCAACATGCACACCTTCAACGACCGAAGACTGCCAGGGAAAGAGACCATGGCCTGAAGCAGGAATCCGTGTCATTTTCTCACCCGCTCTCATGTGCTGAATTGGTGTGTGAGGACACTTGGGATAAGGGAATGGGTAAATGGTAGAGGGGAAGAGGAAGTTGCCATGGTCGAACTTGTAGAGCTTGTAGAGCAGGACTGCTTTGCAGTTGTTGTTAAAACGTCATGCTTCTGTCTTTCTAATTAGCTACAGATAAGAGATTCATCAGTATTTCCTGTGGAAATAACTTCAACCCGGGTGAAATTTCAGCAAGTTACCTCATTACTCTTACAACACTGGCAACCAACTGGAGGTGCCAGGATTTTTAAAAAACCTTGAGTTGAAATGTAGAAGGTCTTGGATTCCATCAAAGTGGAGGAAAAGTTGAATCACACTTTTGATCTGCTCCTCAGTCACTGCAGAGACTGAAGGTGCATCTCAGCTAATGTGATTGAACAGGTGGGAAAGTTTCTCATTTTTTTTTCTGTGTTGCTAAATTAGACCTAACACGGGGTGAAGTGATAAGCAGTGCTCTCAAAATGTATAAAAAGCACTGCTCAGTAACATATGATATTGAATGACTTTAAAAATTGACATTTTGCAAAACGTCATCTGGCAATAATTGAATTTATGTGTTTTTTTTGTTTTCAGAGTACTAACACTTTTAGTCTTTAATGGGGATGAGTATGGGAGAATTATCCTGCCATAATGCAAGAGCACATCATTTCAATTTGAGAAAAGAATTTCATCTTCTTGCGCTCAAAACTTATAATGCTCACACTCCAAACATGCGCTCTCTCTCAAATATTTTCTCTTCTCTCTCAAATCTTTGTTTCTTCTCTCAGATTTAATGCTTCTTGCACAGATATTTTCTCCTCTCGCTTGCCTCCTTCTCTTCGTGCACAAACCGCGCTCTGCTCGAGTCTCAGATACGCTCGCAAACCCGTAGGCTCTGCTTGCGGATTTTTTTTTGCTCTCTCTCAGATTGGATAGGATCGTCGCCTAGCAACCTTTCCAGCCAATAGAACGACAGCCTCACAAAGGGTGCGCTTGTCTAACTCGACTGAGTGTGCCTGTGATAAACCTTACCGACAATAAATTGGCTTTTTAATTTAAAAGATATTAAAATAAGAAGCTGAAAAACAACAACAATCAGGAAAATAAAAAAAAGGAAATAATAAAGGGCGATTCAAGAATCACCAATGAAAAGTCACTTAACAAACTTTTTTTTTTTTTTTTTCCTGACGAGCAACTCTGAGGCGGGAGTTTTCTGTTCACATCACGTCACGTCTGAAATTGGATAGCTTTTAAATTAAAAAGCCAATTTATTGTCGGTAAGGTTTATCACAGGCACACTCAGTCGAGTTAGACAAGCGCACCCTTTGTGAGGCTGTCGTTCTATTGGCTGGAAAGGTTGCTAGGCGACGATCCAACTGCAATCCGAGAGAGAGCAGAAAAAATCCGCAAGCAGAGCCTACGGGTTTGCGAGCGTATCTGAGACTCGAGCAGAGCGCGGTTTGTGCGCGAAGAGAAGGAGGCAAGCGAGAGGAGAAAATATCTGTGCAAGGAGCATTAAATCTGAGAGAAGAAACAAAGATTGGAGAGAGAAGAGAAAATATTTGAGAGAGAGCGCATGTTTGGAGTGTGAGCATTATAAGTTTTGAGTGCAAGAAGATGAAATTCTTTTCTCAAATTGAAATGATGTGCTCTTGCATTATGGCAGGATAATTCTCCCATAGATGAGGGGTATTCTATAAAAACTATTTGATGAATTCAATCAGAGAATGCATATCTAGGGGCAATAAGTAGTGAAATGTTGATGTACTTGTAACAGCCTGTAGTCACAGATATGGAGATTCTTCAGAGGTTCACACACCTTTCACACTTTGGGATGGTGACTAGCAGCCATTATGGTTGGCTTTATTATTCGGGGTTCTGGATGCTGTAAGAGTCACAAATGCTCTGGCTCTACAAGCTGCTACCCCATAGGCTGCTGCTCACAACTGGCCCAACACACAGCCTCAACAATGGTTCATAATGACGACGTTAATCTTTCTTCTAAGTAAAAAAAAAAGATTAGAACTAAGATTTACTGATGCATAATCAGATATTGGTAATGACATTTATAGCAGCATTTCCACAAGAGCAAAAGCTGCCATGTTTGTGTTGAAAACCATGGAAGTATCCTCTGACTGTCTGAAGGCAGAAACATTTCAGCGGCTCATCGCGCCTCACCGTGTCAGAGTTCAGAGCAATCACACAACATTGACACTATTTATTCAAAGTATTTATAGTTTTATTTATTGGACCCTTTATTTATGTTTGTATGGACTAGACTCTCACTACAGCTTTGTCACAGTAATTCTTTTTTTCTTTCATTTGCACAGGGTAAAGCCGTTTCACTTTTCTACTTCTGTGTTTTTTTTTCTTTCATTTCTGTAGCAACAATGCTTCACATTTTCTTGTGCAAATGGGATTTCTATAAGCAGTGTTTTTGTACAAAGTCAGTCCGAATTTTATAATAATTTTTATCGACACAAAACACACCATCAGGAGGTTTATCCAGCATAAGGGGTCACTTATGTTGCGTAGGAGGCCCTCTCTAAAATTCACAGAGCCAACTCAAACATTCAAACATGCAGAAACCCAAATACACCCATCCTCCAAACTCACAACATTAACTATGTTCTGGTATAGCATTCATTTTAAAGAACAGGGGGAAAATAAACTATTTTTTATGATGTAAAGGAATCATATTTAAATAAAGATATTTTTACTTCACAATAAAGCAAAATGTGAATTCTGGTTATAGCAAATATTATAGTAAACACACATACATTGGATGCTGGGCCTCTAACTTCTGATAGAATGCTAGAATCCAGTTCTGTGTAATGATTTATAAAGGTGGGGTGTAAAAAATTAAGCAAAAAAAAAAAAAAAATGAAAGAGCATCTAATTAATTTTGACCTTTTTGTGAAAATCAAATTGCAGTGCACACAGTTTACTCTTTGAAATAAATGCACACATTTAAAGAAAATAAAAAAGTTATTCCCAACTTTGAGTGTGTATTTAATGTGAATAAACATGTAATGGGATTGAAGGTTGCATCAATGTCATTTTAACACATTTTAACACAAAATACTCCATGGTTACAATGTTTCACCGCCTCAGATTTTTATTTTAGTTCATCTGAGAAATATGTGTCATGATGCGTATGAATCCCTGACTCGCATATAGAATCAGATAAAGGTTTGCATTAGGAGCAATACTTAGGCAGTTGTCTAGGGCCCAAAGTACCTGGGGGCCCCTATAAAACTCTGTTTACATGTATGGGTATTACAACTATTCCTTATTTGTGCACATTAATTATCTTCCTTTGGCTAAAATTCCATCAGAACGCTGATAATATTAAGTGTCTCAGCCCCCCCCTTCAGTGTCCACCATATTGGATCAGTCCATTTGCTGCACATGTTCAGAAAGGTCCAAACAGACAGCAGCAAACCATTTGAAAACAAACCATGCAAAGAGCAGTGTTGCCAACTTAGCGCTTTAGTCGCTATATTTAGCCACTTTTCAGACCCCTCTAGCACTTTGATTTCTAAAAAGCGGCAAATCTAGCAACTTTTTTCTGCTACTGGAGATTATGGAGACGACATCTAAAAGCAGCGAACTCTGCTCTCCAGAGCGAGTAGATTGGTAACCCCGCCTCCTGCTCTCCTCTATCTTGTCTGCTGTCATGATTCATGCAGCTATTATTTCATCCAAATGAAAAATGGAGAACAGATAAGCAGATCATGGCTTGTCTACAGTGAAAAGAAGGACTGGGTTATTTACTTTGGCCTTTTTGGAAACACAGGAAGGAGCAATCAGCTAAGTGAGCTTAGTGCTTGGAAAAAATCTTTCATTCCTTTAGAGACAGCATGAAAAGTCAGCTGAGTACAAAACATGGAGAGGAAAACAAGAAGAAAAGGGACAAGAAGAGAGGGACACAACCTAGAACAGATAATAAACGTCTATTCTATTAAAATGTCTGTATCTGTACAATGGGTCTGTTTTATGTGTTGTCCTCTCAGTTCAGAGGGCCCCTGCCTGTTTTTGCCTTGGCCCCCTAATTTCCTAAATCGCCCCTGCAGTGGGGTAGGGGTTTCAGCAATCTGTGGGTGTTAGATCCCAGTGCTGGTGGAAAAGGAGGTTTTGTTTCCTAAGTAGATGCAGGTCTTTTCTCAAAGTGAATAAAGTGCTGGAGGCAGGCAGGCAGCTGAAGAGGCTGAGGACGCTTCAAAAATGCAGGACTCAGGTAGGTTCTCCTCTGGTACGTCACACAATATTCATGAGCTTCCAATAACCTGAATCACAGGAACAAAGCAACATAAGGCAGAGCTCAAAATCATCCCAAAAAAAGCCCAGGAAGTACAGTTGGTCTGAAGGACTGGCTGGGCGACCGCCTCAGGTAACCATCCAGCTCCCTATAAGCACCAGTCAGCCTAATGGGAAGATGAATGCTGGAGGGCAGCAGCATAGAGCCGGTGGAGCTCTAAGCACAGATCTTATCCTAAACAGGACTCACACTTTTAGACAGAAAAAAAAAACACCAAACGCATCTGAAGCCTAAAGATGTTGTGCATTTATATTCGGCCCTTTATAGTCAACACGTTTAAGAAATACCTTTCCCTGCATCAAGTCTGTAAGTCTGCTGGAGAATTTAACTGCAGGGGTTAGTGGTGCAACTTTAACAGATGTATTACCCCACCTAGTTGGGGTGGTATCTGTTTTTTAATCAGATAATATTTGGACTGTATATTTTTTATGAAGACATGCTCTTCAGGCTGTGTGTTAGAAAAAAATGAAAATGGGAATCAAGCTCAAATCTTCTTCAAAACGATAATTCTGCACGTATATGGAGAACATTCACCACAACTTCCTTTCAAAACAGTTTATTAACAAAAATCATTCAGCTCCAAGTCAAACATATTGGAGTTAAGACTTTTTGATTAAACTAAAGCTACAATGTAAACAAAGAAGAAAGAAAACTATAATTAATGAGATGATGCAAGGATATTTTAGTTGAGCATGGATTTTATGAGAGAACCAAAGTTTATGTTGAAGAGTTTTAGATGTTATCAAATTAGCATTTGGATGATTTATAGAAAAAGTCCGGTAAGCAAGGAATAATCAATGGATCATTATCTATACCTAAAACTAATATGTTTGATGTGACTTAAAGGAAAAAGGTTTTTTTTTTACTTGGGCCCTTGATTTTCCGTTATTCCATCCTGTTCTTCTCACCCGTATGAGTTTAGTGTCATTTGGAGCCGTTCTGAAGATATTCCGTTAGGTTATATCCAGTAACGTCTTCCTATGGGCAACGACTTGAAGGCACAAACTAAACTGTTCATCATTTATTCTTTATGGTACGCCAGCATTCAGAACATGGAGGACAATCACTGTCCCTCTGACATCTGCGGTTAGATTTTTTATATTTATATCTTTTAAAAACTAAGCGGCACGTGTATACTACTAAACACATCTGCAATCAACAACAATTATTGAAGATTTCCAGAGGACTTCACCATTGAAATTCACCAGAGCTATAGTGAAACTGACAATGCCCACGTGCATGGCAGCTGGATGCTGGAATACATCGGGGAAAAGTGAAAAAAAGAGTTATTCCACCTTTCTGATTCCTGATCCTCCACGGACGGGTTGGTCGTTGGATCGCCAACTTGAAGAGGGA